ATGGCTTGGGTGGATCGGGTAGCCTTGGTGGCGGGTTAGCTGGCATTGATGGTGGATTAGGTGGTTTCGATGGTGGATTATTCGATGTGGATTGGGTGGTTTCGATGGTGGATTAGGTGGATTCGATGGTGGATTAGGTGGTTTCGATCCTGGATTAGGTGGTTTCGATCCTGGATTGGGTGGACTCGATGGTGGATTGGGTGGTTTCAATCCTGGATTTGATGGATTAAGTGGGGCTGGTAACATAGATGGTGGATTGGATGGTTTTGATGGCGGATTAACCGGTTTTGAAGGTGGATTGAGTGGATTCGATCACGGACTCTCTGGTCTCGACGGATTCGGCACCTTTGATGCTGGCTTAAGCGGTTTCGAAAGTGGATTCGATAGTGGAATAAGTGGATTAGGTGGTTTTGATGGATTAAGTGGCTTTGATGGTGGAATTGGTGGATTCGACGGCGGATTGGGCGGCCCCGAGCTTGGATTAGGTGGCCTAAGTGGATCAGGCGGTGGCTTAAGTGGCCTAGATGGACTGAGTGCTCTAGACGGTGGATTTGGCAGTGACCTGGGTGGATTTGGGGCAGGACTGACGAGTTTTGATGGCGCCGTCGCTGCTCCACTTGTCGGTGGAGTGGCAGACGGATTCGGTGGAGCTGGAAGTGGATTCGCAGGTTCTGGAGGTGGAGCGGGAAGTGGATCAGGCAGCGGGGTGGGTTTTGACGTTTCCGGTGGGGTGGGGGGCCAGGGAGGACTGGCGCGGGGGGAGGAGGACTCGCGGACTCCCTCACCGCTGCAACCCCGGGCGGAGAAGCTGCTGGTGTTGGACTCCCTCTGGTCGGGGCTGGCAGTCCCGGGGGCGGCGGGGCGGAGTCTGCTGGCGCTGGGTTCCCCGGTGGGGGCGTGGCCGATGGGGTTGGCAGCCCTGCTCATACCTCCATTGGCGTTGGTAGCCCGCCCTGTTGAGCCTCAGCCCTGTTGATGCTTGGTAGCCCTGTTGCCCCTGTCAACCTCTAGCCCTGTTGTTGTGTTGGTAGCCCTGTTGATACCTCAGTTGGTGTTGGTAGCCCTGTAGCTTCCTCCCTTGGTACTATTACCCCAACTGATACCTCCATCGGCGCCGGCAGCCATGGCGAGGCCTCATTTGGTATTGCTGATACATCCGCTGGAGGTCTCATTGGCAGCCCTGTCGACGCCTCCGCTGGCTCGGCTGGGTCTGTCGCCGCCGCGTCAGAGCCTTCCGCAGGGTCGCTCAGCGCTGGGAGCACGAGTCCCGTCCTCTCCGGCAGCCCCCTAAGTGCCGGCGCCCCGTCAACCCTTACGAGCTTCATGAACTTCGGAAGCCCCGTCGGTGTTGGCACGCCTGCTAGTGGTACGGGCTTCATGGCGGTTGGTAGCCCTGTCAGCATTACCACTCCTTCGAGTGTTAAGAGTGCTATGACTGTTGGCAGCCCTGTCAGTGTTAGCAGTCCTCTGGGTGCTGCGAGTTCCATGACAATTGGCAAGCCTGTCACTGTCAGCAGTCCTTCGGGGTTTAAGAGCACGATGACAATTGGCAGCCCTGTAAGCGTGAGTTCTCCCGCGCAGACTACAGCTACAGTCGTCAGCAGACCCGCGAGTGCTGACAGTCTCCCAAAGACTGGAACTTCTACACGTGTTACAGGCACTGTGGGTGTTGCTAGTCCTGCAAGTGTTAGCAGCCCAGGAAGTGTTGGAACATCCGCAAGTGTTCAAGGCGCCGCGGGTGTTGGCAGTCTCGTCCAAGGCAGCAGCTCAATAAGTGCTCCCGTAAGTTTGAAAAACACAATGGCTGTTGGCAGCCCAGTGAGCATTAGCAGCACAGTCGGCGCAGGCGTTGGAGGAGGTGTCGAGAGCAGCATGGCAGTCGGCAGCCCCGTCAGCGTCGGCAGGCCGGGCGGGGTCGTGATCAGCCGCGGCGTGACGACCGCAGGCCCTGTGCTCTCCCACGGCGGCGGAGGTCGAGGTGAGTGCGCCGCTTGCAGACTTTCTCGAACAATTATGTAATCTTGGGTGGAATGTATTGTCTGTATTTCTGTTGCTATTACCATTATTACTATGGCCACTATCACTGCTCTTATTAACACTGTGATCACTACTACTTTCGTGCAGCCTGGTTGTTGATATTGTGCCAGGCCCGACCCAGTGAACATTCACATATACGGACATGCATAACCCAAAAATAATGGCACATCTGTCTATCTGTTTGGTAGATATATATTAACCTATCTATATATCTTGTAGATATGTATCTATTTCTGAATGTATGCACGTCCATGAAATGAACGTTCTTTGGGTCGGGTCTCGCACAGTGTTACCAAACCGGCCTATTATCACAGTGCCAGTCTTATCACCATGATCGCCTACATCCTCGCGGCATTCAGCCTCAGCCTCGGTTCTCATTCGCCCGTCTTGCAGGCGAGGGCGACCGCGGCAGCAGGAGAGCCAGTGGTTTCAGCATCACGAAGGCTCACCTGACGCACGTTGGCACCTTCGAAGGCACTGACATTATAGATCATATATTCGGTGAGTACTTACATAATACTGGAGTGTACACGGAGCTGGAAGTAAGGTGTCACTTTCGGTGTTCATTTGCAGAGGGATTGAAGCATTGCTGGATCTGAAAGTGAAATCTGGCGATAGGTCTGTGTTTCTCTCAATTTTTAGATTATTTATTCAATTATTTATTATAGGAGGAAGTGCTGGATATATTGTTTTGGTTCACTTTCATTTTCAGTAATGGTAAAGAGAACCTTTCGAGGCGTGGTTCTGCCACATGCCAACTTTCCTCATGTCAAAGAGTAAATTTCCAACAATGGGTGTTGTAAGAAGAAAAAAATTGCACATCGTGACATATAAAGCTTTGCCATTGTGAAACGAAAAGAAGAGAAGGAAAGAAAAGAAAAAAAATATATATAAAAAAGACAATTTTTATCTATATTCCCTTTCTCTTCCTCTTCATCCACATATCTTGGATTTTTTAAAAAGCAGTGCATACGGATACAACCTTACGAATCGTACCATAACACTGTTGTTATTTCACCCCTTCATTAATCTATACACTGACGCACTTAAAATTTCAGCCCATTCGTAAAACCATTTCTTCTACTCATTAACTTCCTGCTTAAGCAACATAGGTCATTTTGACTTGAAGAACTTAATAACACATCGCGTCAAGAACTGTCTACCCTTGTCAACTTTTTCAGCGCTGAATTAATCACTCTGCGTTTCAGTAAATTGAAGTTATTAGAAAAAAAAGGACCAAATAATTAAATCAATTAGGAGATCCTTCGCCTACCCATCATAGCGGAAGGTTACAGCAAAAAATCTTATTAAAACTGCCTAATTTGATTAATGGGTATGTCATTTCAATGAAATTAAAGCCAGTAAACAATGAATAGATATTTTGATGAATAGAAGTATTTTTTTTCAGCCACCATTATTCATTTCATCATTCATCATTCATCATTCATTCATCATTCAGCACCTTAATCCCAACTTTCAGATGGCGACGGCTTCAGCGTCACCAGAGCTCGACTGACCCACGTTGGCACTCTGCCTCCGGCCGGCTCTTCCGGTGCCAGGCGAGGCGAGGCGAGAGGTAAGTGTTTTCAGTGTTTGGAGCATGAGGAAGAGTGCCTGTGGGTGCCAGTTAGGAATTGTTCATCCAGCAGGGGCTTCGAATCACCATAGGAACCTGTTGGTCGTTTATGGTGTCTGTGGCACCATTAGGATGTTTTTTTTGTTGTTTTAATTATTATTATTATGATCATTATTGTTTTATCATTATCATTATTATTTCATTATTTTTTATATATCATTATTATATTATTATTATTTATCATTATCATTATTATTATTATTATTATTATTATTATATCTTTATTATTATTATTATTATTATTATTATTATTTATATCATTTATTATTATTATTATTATTACACAGTTTTTTTTCTTTTTTTTTTTTTTTTGGGGGGGAAGGGGGGCTGTAGTTCAGCTATGGTTCATCTATGGTGCGTGGATGGTGTATTTATGGTGGCTCTGCTTTCCTTATAGTAGCCTTTAGGTTCATTTCCGCCACTTCCGGCTCATGAAAAGCGACTTTGCTTCATTTTGTTTTCAATTCAACAAGAATTATTATTTTCCCAAGAAAGCAAATTGTATTGAGAACACCTTTGGCTTATTTTTTTTTTTTTATATAAACCTTATTTGTTTGGCTTATATTTTTTCCATTTTTTATTATTTTTTTTATATAAACCTTATTTGTTTGATTTATTTTTTCCATTTTTGTCATCTTCGTTTTCCTAGATTTGTGGAATTATTAAGAAAAAAAAGGATATTATGGATGTGATTATGCTCTTGATTATGGCAGTTGTGATGGTAATGATGATTATAATAGGTTATGATAAGTGTTATGATAATGACTAAACTTCGATGATGATTCAATTGGCAATAATGATAAACAAAATATATGATGTTTATGATAGTGACAATGGTTATCATAATGTTAATGATATTGATGGCAGTGATGGTAATGATAATAACAAAGAAGATAGAATTAACAATATTTGATGTTAATGATGATAATGGCAATAATAATAATAATAATGATATATATAATAGTAATAATGATAATAACGATAATGATAAAGATAATGATAATAATAGAAATAGCAATAATGATAAGATAATGATAATACAAATAACAAAAATGATGATTAATAATGATGATAATTACGATAATGATGATACTGATAATAAGGATTATAGTGTTAACGAAAGCTGTAATACTAAACATAATGATATACTAATACTGATACTAATAATAATAATGATACTAATAACGATAATAAAAATAATAATGATAGTAGCAATAACAGAAATAATATATTGATAATGATAATAATAATGATAATAATAGTAACAGTAATAATAATAATAACGATAGTAATATCAATATTGATAATGATAATGATGAGAGAATAATAACGACATTAATGATGATGATAACGTTAATGATGATAATAATTTTTATAAAGGTAATGATAATGTTAATAATAATAATAATAACAGTTGGGATGTTAATAATTATAATAATGATAAGGATGTTAATAATAATGATAATAATGATAATGAAATGATAATGATACTAACAACGATATTGATTATAATGATGATAATAATGATAGTGATAAGGATAATGAAATGATAGTAATAACAATGATGATGATATTAATGATTATTATTATCATAGCAACAACTATAATATGTTAATTATGGCAATGATTGCGGTGATGATAATTTTGATAATGGAAATGATAAAAACAGTTATGATAATAAAAGATGTTGATGTTGGAAATGATTATGATAATATGATAGTTACGTTAATATCAACTGCATTGATAATTAAGGTGAGGAATGATAATACTGATTATAATAATGATGAATGAAAATGATAAATAATGATAATAATAAGATAATGTAGTATAAGATAATGATAATAATAATGATAATAATAATAATAATAATAATAATAATAATAATAATAAAAATAATAAGATGATAAAAAAAAATAAAAATGATAGCAATGATGATTATAATAATGATAATGATGTGATGAGAATTACATTGATAATGATAAGAATGATTTATAATGGTGATAATAACAATGATTATAATGATAATTATAATAATAAGTATAGCAATGAAACTAACAACAACAAGAACAACAGTAGCAATAAAGATGATAATATTTATGATAATGATGATGATAACAATAATAATGATAACTATAACGATAGTACTAACAGTAATGATGGTAATGATGACAGTGATAATTGATAAGTGATAATGACAATATTACTATTTTTTTTATTATTATTGTTGTTGTTGTTGATGCTATTGTTATTTCTTTTGTTAAAATGATAATGTAAGTAATAGTTTTGATAATAGTGATCATAATGAAAATCATAACGATAGTAATGTTACTTCTACCACTGCTATTAGGTAATGATAATAATAACAGGTATGAAATTATGATACTTTGATAATGAGGATAATGCTATTTATAGTAATAATGATAATGATGATGATGAGAATAGAAGGGATAATAATAATGATAATGATAATGAAAGTAGTAATAATAACGATGATGGGAAGAGTATTAGTGATAATGATAATGATAATGAGGATCATGATGACGATAATAATAGTGATCTTTATAATGATACTAAAGATATGAGTGAAAACGATATTAGTGAAATATTCATTACGATAAGTATATAATAAGATTTGTGTTCATGGTATTCCTATTAAATAAGTAATTATGATTATTTTCTTAATAGTAGTGGTTATTGAAGAAGACCGTCGTTAATTTAGGGTCGTGATCAATTCATAACTGGGTTTTATAACGTGATAAGTAACTAGAGATTGTACTTTTCGTCCATATTGTAGGTTGTCCAGAATGACTGCTGCGTTCATGGCTATATTGTTCATTAAATATGATGGTTTACACAGGAGCAATTTGGTTCCTTTCAGCTGCTTGTTGCTCTATCAAAGAGATTGTGGCCCAGGGTGATCAGGGTTCATCCAGGTGATTTTAGTTCTTCCAGGGTGATTGCAGTTATCATCGATATTGTGATCATTCCAGTTGTGATTATTCCAGGGTAATTGCAGTTATTACAGAGGCTACTGCTGAGATTGCTATTGATAGTAATACTCCACAACCATTATTTAGTTCATCTTTCGTCACTAATACGATATGTTTCTCATTCGATTTATGTTGACAGATTACGGCAGATAACTTCCAATCCATGGCTGAGATTCCAAGATTCCAAGTTCCGTGAAGATTCCAAGATTCCAAGTTCCGTGAAGATTCCAAGATTCCAAGTTCCATGAAGATTCCAAGATTCCAAGATTCCAAGATTCCAAGTTCCATGAAGATTCCAAGATTCCAAGTTCCATGAAGATTCCAAGTTCCGTGAAGATTCCAAGATTCCAAGTTCCATGAAGATTCCAAGTTCCATGAAGATTCCAAGATTCCAAGTTCCATGAAGATTCCAAGATTCCAAGTTCCATGAAGATTCCAAGATTCCAAGTTCCATGAAGATTCCAAGATTCCAAGTTCCATGAAGATTCCAAGATTCCAAGTTCCATGAAGATTCCAAGATTCCAAGTTCCATGAAGATTCCAAGTTCCATGAAGATCCAAGATTCCAAGCGATTCCAAGTTCCATGAAGATTCCAAGAAGTTCCATGAAGATTCCAAGATTCCATGAAGATTCCAAGTCCCGTACAGTAAGCGTGTGCGTGTGTGTCTGTGTTGTGTACGTGTAGGCGAGATGTGAATGTGTACGGTGCCCCAAGGATTATGTAAATAAGTTTCGGATAATTGTTCGGTGTGTTGTACAACCTGGTGTAGATAGCGGAGATTGTAAATATTATTAAAATGTTTTTTGTGTTTTCTATTTATTGTTTTTTTTTATATA